TGAGGATGCCCTGAAGGCTCCATCGCAGGATAGCAGCGGTTGGTTGACAAGGCCAAGTACCATACAATACTGCTCCGAGAACCAGGAACATAGGCAAGGGACATCGACAGAGACCTGGTGTTGAGGCTATGACCTCGAAAGCCCTCTTGCTCCAGCACACCATGGACATAAAGGCCCCAGAGCCACTGCGCCCATCTGAGAGACACAGGGCTCACAGTAAAGAAACTTTGCTCATGATTCTGACCTCTAACCGACCCAAGGAGACGGCTTCTGGCTGCATTGGGTCCAAGCCTCTCTGCTCTCAGAGGAATCCCTGTGGCTAACCTCAACTACACTCTGTGGACCCAAACCAGAGTCTCTTATCTGTCTGGAAAGAGCTCTGTCAAGGCCACCACATCCCAGAGACAGTGCCCGCCCACCAGCCTTGGCCATATCTGAGACCAAGAAAGCCTTCCACAGCATCTCTCTGGAAGTTCAGAGATCATCAGAAAACTAAGTTCTCTGTCTCTCATCCGACCACAAGCCTTCACACTACCGCCGGGCAACTTGTCTTGCATTCTACATGTGACAAGCTTTCGGATAAGCCGTGGCTTAGAGCAGACAGAGGTGGACAAGGAGGTGTTCTGGATCCCAGCCTTGCTTCATAAGATCCATGCTGATAAAGGCTGGCAGATCCCTGCCCGCTGTTAAGGCTGTTACTACTCAACCATCATTTCCCAGCAGACCCTGAGCCGGGAGGGGATCCATCCATGCTTATTCTCCTGAATGGTATACTACAGTAAAAGTGCTAAAACCTCCATCTTCCTGTTTCACAGATGATAGAGGTGAGTGAGGCTTAGGAAACAGGAAGACAGAAGCCACACCTGAAGTGCAGGTGCCTGCCCTTCCCGTTCCCCCCAATGCCTCCTGCTCCAGATTCTACTTTCTATATTCGGAGACTACTGTGTAAGGGGCAATGGAGGTTCACAATAGCCTCTAACTGCAGGCCTCCAACAGCTACACTGTCCCTAGCCCTGTCCAGGAAGAGCCTGAGAGGCCCCCAACCTTCCAGGAACATTCCGTTCCCAGTCTAGATCCCCTCAGGCCTCACTGGACGGAGATCATCACTCTTGAGAGCAGTGCATCCTATAATGACTGAGCGTGGCCAACCCTCCTGGTCTCCATCCTACAAGCCGGGTCTAGAAAGCCAGCCTGTATCCTGGCTTAGTTACAACTTGTCCACCAACCTTATGCTACATGTGCTTGTGTCCTCAAGGACGGAGGCTCCTTCCTCCTCTGGGAAGCCTTTCCAGATCTCCACTTCCTGGGAACCTTTGTGTCAGACTCTGATTATCCAGCACAGTTCAGGACGATGGCCACAGTGTGAAGAGTCCTCATTCAGCCAGTAAGGTCTTGCTCCCCAATGCTAGACCACCCTTCCATCTGCAGGCAAAGAGCTGTATGTGAGTAAGACCAAACAGACCTGGGTTCAATCCTACATCGCCCTCTAACCTGAGCTAAGGCCACCAGGACCGAGCTCCTTCTTCCCCAGCCCCAGGGCTCTGTTTCAGTCCCAGCTCCAAGTTCCAAGAATGGACAAAGGCCCAGAGCTCCACAGTGGCTCAGCACTGGGAATCCATATTTTTCTTTTTTCTTTTTTCTTTTTTTTTTGTCTCCAGGGCCAACACAGAAACACGACGCCTCCTACTACTCTGGGTGCTGGGTAAGGGTAGTATCCCAGCCACCCCAGAACTTCACAGGGTCCCTTCCCAGGGTACACAGCCTCCAAGAAGAGAGGCTTTCCCTCACCAGTACCACCCTCACTAGCAAGTCTACAGGGGAAGAGGAAGAGGCTCTCAGAGATCTTTGCTTACCAGACAGAGCCTCCCAGGCTCGGTTCTGGGGCCTCACATTCCCTCCCAGTACCCCCACCCTTTCTTGGTGCCCACAGTACCTCCAGGGCTCCAGTCTGCAGCAACCAGAGCAGCTGGCTGTGGGGTGCTCTGAGCCTCCAGCCTGCCTGATCTGGGTGGAGGAACCTGTTTTCCAGGTTTGTGGCTCCTGTAGAGGGGCCTCCTGCCTAGGGCAGGCCCCACCCTAACAGTCATGTCCCTGTGTGTGAGCTACTCCTAGGAGGGTTGTTGCCCAGTCCCTCTATCCTTTGCTGTTAAAGGGTGCAATGGAAAACTTAAGAAAGCCTAGCAATCAGCCCTGCTCCGTGATCCGTGTGGTGGGGCAGACCTCCCAGAACCCATCAGACTTAGGCTGCAGTCCTCTCTTCATTCCTGCAGAGAAGACATTGACTTGTCCCTCCTCTGGTTCTCAGGAGACCAGATGACAGTTGAGGTAGGGGCTCTAAAGGCTCATCTGATAACGCCCTTGCCTCAAGGCAGGTGTGGACCCTGCAGATATCGGCCTCATCCCAGGTGTGATGTGTACAGCAACCACCAAAGCGGTAAGTCCCTGCTAGGGGCAGAGGGAAGAGTCTGCAAGGAATGAAAGACACTCAGGGGAAGGGAAGCCTAAGAGTTGCATGTTCATCTATCCATCAATCAGCTAGGTGATGCTGGAAGGTCTAACCTGGGGCTGGGGGAGGGCAAAGAGCAGGTGCAGTGGAGCCATCTGCTGGATATCCCCTCCCAGTTCCCTGGCCTCTCCCAAGTCCTGGCTTACTCCATCCCTGGCCTCCCTATCAACAAAACTACATTAAAGATTCTCAGATAGGGCTGGCTATAGAGCTCAGTGGTTAAGGTGCTTGTCGCACCAGTATGAAGAGCAGAGTTCAGATCCCTAGAGCCCACATAAACATCTGATGGATGAGGTGGCCCACTTGAAATTTCAACCTTGGAAGGCAGAGGATCCCAGAGTAAGTTAGCTAACAAGACTAGCCATGTGGGTTTAAGTTCTGGGTTTGATTCAAAGACCCTGCTCCAAAGAAGAAGGTGGAAGAGAAATCCAGGATAATGCCAGGTATGATCCCTCAGAGTCTCCACATTCACAAGCGTGTACACCACACATAGTTGTATACACACACAAGCACACATGCACATGCATACACTCACACACACATGCACACACACCCACATATGCCCACACACATACAAACATGCGTATATACACATGGATACAATAGAAACACACAATAAATATAATTTAATTTAATAAAATTAGAAAACAGAGTGGCCAGAGCTAGCATCCCTGGCAAAGGACATCAGACTGGACAACAAAACTCCCAGTGTGTATGACTTTTGAGGCAGTTGTTGAGGGACAAAACTGTAAACACTGCCTCTAGGATGGCTGACCTTTGCTCCAGAAGCTCCTGTGTCAGAGATGCAGAATTTCACCCCTGTCAGAGATGCAGAATTCCATCTGGTCCCAGAGCTACTACCAATCAGCATCTCTAGGTGGGCCCACACAATCCATGTGGTCAGCGCTGGCATAATGGGCTCTCAATAAACACCAGCTAGTTATTGTCATCATTCTTGGTCTATAGACCAGAAACCTGAGACCCACCAAGTGAAGGAATGTGCAGACCACTCCTATCCCTCGAAGAGCTAGTGAGGGCCCCAAAGGGGGGAACTCAAAGCCCAGCCAAGACTCTTCAGTGCAATGTCCCCAGGGAACTTCACTACAATTGACAAGAGGTAATCATGGTTGTCTCACAGATTTGGGTGGCCCTCAAGCAGACCAGGAGGTGGGTATGGGAGCGTGTAAGCCAGGACTAGAACTGTCAAGTCCTCCAATACACCTCTGGTGCCTTCCCTGAAACCCTCAGGAGCCTGGCCTTTCTGTCCTCCATCCTTGAAACAGGGGGAAGAGTTTACAAGGAGAAAACCACAAGGCTCAGGCTCAGGATCCTTGTGCTTAAGGCAAGAGGGTGTCAAAGGGAAGTCGCAAAGGGCATATGCCCCTTCTGCAAGCAAGAGCTCTACCACCTCAGAGTTCTGGAACCCGGAAACACTGAAGCAAAGGGGGACTCAAGGCCATATGGTCATCTGGAAACCTAGAGAACTGATCTACAATGATGTCACTATTCATCTTGTCCTTCCACTTTCTCTTTTCGCTGAAAGACCACTTGTTTCCCCGATCTGTGCATGATCTCTTTGGGTTAATCATCGCTAGTGGCCCAAGCTAGTAGAAAGGATGGGCTGACGGCGCCACCTGCTGGCCATCCTGGGATTGTCCCTTAGGAAGAATCCTTGAGCGGTGGCTAGGGGTGTCTTACACAGCCCACAAGGAGGAACCTGAGGGTCAAGGCACCGGTCAACAGTTGAAACGAGGTCTGTGTCTAGGATTTGAGCCCACAGAGATAGATGCTGAGGCCGTATCCCTGGGAACAACAGATACTTGAATAACGATTCTGCTCTTGTTCTCCATGACTGAGAGAAGAGAATCCAAAAAGCAGTCACGTGTAAGCAGCAGTCCAGGAGGGGACACTTAAAACAGGCCATATACCCGATGGTAATGCCAGAAATGAGCTTTTTGAGTTTGAAGAGAAAAAGTCTTCCAGGGACACAAGCAGCCTTGGGCCTTCAAAGAATCTGCATTTCAAACTGTCATATCTGATTTGGCCAGAAGCTTGTGCCTCTGCATGAGCCGTGACTGTCACCTGGCAGTGCTCAAAGGTACTATCTGGGATTGCCCAACCCAAGCTGAGGAAACCAGGGCATGGGCAGCGGGAGGAATTCCGAACGGGACCTCCGGACTTCCGTAGTCCGTTGGGTGTGGCTATCCTATAAGGTCTACTTCTGCAGTCCCAGAGACACGTGCCTCCTGCCAGAAAGCTGGACCTAAATCAGGCCAAAAGACACATCTGCGAGGCTGAGCTCTTCGGGGTCCCACCCACTAGGTATCCACCACGTGCCTGTCAATATCCGCCACTTTACTGTGCGGCTCTACCCTCCAAGCACAGACCACACCTCTCCCCGCGTAACCCCGCCCATCCGTCATGGCCCCGCCCCGACCTCCGCGGATGTCACGCCTAGGCCCCGCCTTCGCCCTCGTGGTGTTCGCGGCCTGCGCCCCACGACGGAGGCACGTCGAGCGTCACAGGCCCCGCCCACGAGGCGCGCCGGCGCAGTGCGAGCCCTCCGATTCGGGCCATGGCGCGGGCCGGTGCCCCTGAAGTGATCCGGGCGGCGCAGAAGGACGAGTACTACCTGGGAGGCCTGCGGAGCGCGGCGGGTGGAGCGCTGCACAGCCTAGCGGGTGAGCGTTCCGGGCACCCAGACAGGCGGCAGCTCCAAAGCTTGTTTGGACAGCGGGGATCAAAACAGACGTACACACTGCTGAACACATTGCAGGTCTCTGCTTTAAAAGTGTTTCTCAAGCATTTGCCCATTTACTCCCCAAAAGCCCCTACAGGTTGGACCTAAAATTATTACTCTTATAGCTAGACACGTGGGTCTCACAGGCAGAGATTTGGGTTTCAGAGAGCCGAGGTTTGATGCTAAACAGGTCGCCTCTGGCTTATGTTCTTAGCACTACTTAGACTTTCCTGGGGCCCCATGGCTCTAGGACAGTTCCTGACTCAAGACAGTTACAGTTGGGGGTTCTTAGGAGGTGGTCTTCGTCTCGGAGTCATTCAGGTCAACCAGGGCAGCAGAGGAGGCGAAGGGAGTAGTTGTTGAAGGTCGCCCTAGGAGGAACTTGATGTGGACTTTACCTGCCCCACTGCGAGCTGGGGGGAGTGAACTTAAGTGAACCACTTCACCTCTCCAGAGTTAATATTTTTCTTCTCTCAGGTGCAAAGAAATGGCTGGAATGGAGGAAAGAGATCGAGTTGCTCTCGGACATAGCCTACTTTGGCCTCACCACAATTGCAGGTAGCCGTGTTTGGCAGTTCCTTGGCACTGAGGGGCCCACAATCGACCCAGGTCTGTAGGGGATGGTGAAAGCTGCCAGGCAAACTGAGCAGCTCCTGGAAATCACCTTCACTGGTCTCAGGGAAAGAAGATACTGGCCAGACTGGGTACTTGGCCCAGATATTTTCCGGAGGCCTCGTTCAGTAGGGTGGTGTGAGGCATTGCAAGATACCTGTGAGGGACAGAGGCTGCTACAGCCTACGAGCAGGATCATGGTGAGACACATGGAAAGAGCACAAGACACCACAGGTCTGGTCTCAGGAATAGGAAGTCAGGCTTCATCTTCTGCAGGGCAGACTACTAGAAGCTAGCTTCAAGCTGTGGGTAGGCTTGGAGTTTTTTTATCTGACTCCATGTGACAGTGTCAGGTAAGCAGCGGTGTGTATGCCTGATACTTAGGACTGAGCCATCGTCTGGAAGGAAGAAAGCCCCAAGATTGGATCCCGTCTCTTGGACAGGGGTTAGAGGTTCAGCAGAGGAAGGACTGGGGAACAGAATAGAGACTGGAGGGAATAGGAACTGACAGGGGACACAAGGCCTATTCCAGAGTAGCAGTCTGTGACATCATGAAATCACAGCAAGGCCACAGTGGGCTTAACAAGAAGTTGTGCTGGCCTTGGTTAGGTCTCAGGGTGACTGGTGAGGCTGAGGGGACACAGGCCAGCCTAGGAGCTTGTCCCTGGACCCTCATCATTGTGTGTTAATCCTCAGGCTACCAGACCCTTGGAGAGGAGTACGTTGGGATCATCCAAGTGGACCCATCCCAGCAGCGTGTGCCCTCCAGGCTCCGCCGTGGAGTGCTGGTTGCACTACATGCTGTCTTGCCCTACCTGCTAGACAAGGCGCTGCTGCCCCTGGAGCAGGAGCTGCAAGCTGATGGTGATGGTCCCCGGGCTTCACAGAGCAGTCTGCTACCTGGAGGACGCAGCCGATCAGGGGCACGGCGCTGGGTGCGTCACCACGTGGCCACCCTGACTGAACAGCAGAGGAAGGCCCTCCAGCGGGCAGTCTTTATCCTGAGACAGGGCTTTGCCTGCCTCCATCGGCTCCATGTGGCTTGGTTTTATATTCATGGTACCTTCTACCACCTGGCCAAGAGACTATCAGGGATCACTTATGTAAGTAGCCATGCCCAGGGGACTGGTGTACAGGCCGGGAGCCTCTGAGCAGTGTATCTGGGGACCCGTGCTGACATGACCACAGCCAAGTGCTCCACTTCCAAGCTGCGACTGAAACTCTGTACTTGGGAAAGAGCGGGGCTTGTTCAGTTATATTTTCCTAAAAGGCCCAGGGAAGTCCAGTTTCCACAAACTAAAGATGGGACAGCAGACTTGAGCACGTGAGTGGACTTAGGGCCAGCCTCAGCAGTTTCCTCACTATGGGCCTGTGGCTGTGTCCATTTCACTGTTTGAGGACGAGCACCTCTTCCAGAGGGCGTCAAGTGCAGGTTCTAGCCCAGAGTTTGGCCTTCCTCATTCACCTCTGCCAGCAGAGGCCCTTGTTCATCACCATCCAGCAGCTCTGACAAAAAGCGTGAGCACATCACCTCACCACGGCGCTGGCCACCTAACAGTCTGTACTGGATCTTGTTGTTGTCTGGCAGTCCCTGCTTCCTCAACCCTAGCTTCCTACCAAATGCCCTTGTATCCTGTCACACCGAAGACCTCACCTTGGTATCACCTCCATGCCCACCACCCACCTGTCAGGGGACCAGATGCCACCTTCTCCCTCCAGCCAGTTCATACCCCCCCCCATACACACACACACACACACACACACACACACACACACACACGTACTCACTCACTCTCTCTCTCTCTCTCTCACTCTCACTCTCATAGACAGAACCATAGTCTGGCCTCCCCCTGAACTTCACCAGTCACCTTAACTTAAGCACTGACAGATAAAGCAAAACCTGCCCAAGCAGTCATTTAGTATAGCAGACGTGCCTCCCTTCCTAATGGCTGCTCCATGTTGGGGACTGTGTTTGCTGCTGTAGGGCCTGCTGTTTTCCTGTTCCAGCCCAAGGGATGATGTAAGCTGGTGTCTTCATTTCCCTGCCAGTGGGAAGGCAGGAAGTGGAAGACAGCATAGTTTTGTTGTGATGTGCATGGGAGTTCCACCACTAGCTACAGCAGAGGCTAGAACAGCATCCTCGAGGGCCAGAGTGTTCAAGGGAACAGTATCTGCCTGTCCAGGTTCCCTTGCTGTTCTCTACCCTGCTTGTCCTTGGGCTCCTTCCCCTCCTCTGTAGTAGTCCCCAGACAGCTCTAGAATCCTCACCCATTTTCCTGTTCCATCTAGCCTCCTGGTTCTTGTCTGTGCTGCTAATGCCTAAAGGTCACCCTATAGCTAGGGTTCCCAGTCACTACTTAAACCCATTTCCCTGTTGCTTCTTGTTCTCGGGACACCGCCAGCGGCCATGAGGCGGCCTGGCTGAACATAAACTCCAGCAGACAAGAGGCCAGGTCCTAAGAGATCTTGATGGCTAAAGTCACCTGTCTTAACAGCTCCGCACTCGCTGGCTACCTGGAGAGGACCAGAGGGCTCGCACTAGCTACCGACTGCTGGGGCTAGTCTCCCTGTTGCATCTGGCATTGTCCATGGGGCTGCAGTTGTATAGCTTCAGGCAGAAGCAGCGAGCCAGGAAGGAGTGGAGGCTGCACCGCAATCTGTCCCACCGCAGGTGTGCAGGGGCTTGAGGTACTTTGGCATGCCCTGCCCTGACTTTGTGAAAAGTATACTCACCTGTGTACTCACTCCCATAGGAGCTCCCTTGAGGACAGAGCCGTGTGCAGAACCCCACTCTGCACCCTATGCTTGGAGGAACGAAGACACTCCACAGCTACACCTTGTGGCCATCTCTTCTGCTGGGAGTGCATCACCGAGTGGTGCAACACCAAGGTATGCATGCTCGCCTGTGGCCGTGACAGTTATACTGCCCCGACCTCCCAAACCTCTTGAGTTGGGGGTGGAGAGGTGGGCGTCTTGTTGAAAGCTCTGTGAGATAGGAATCATATTTGGGGCTGAAGTTCCCAGCTTTCCCCTCTTGAGACCTGACTGAGGGCAGGTGAATGGCACATGTTGGGTGCACATATCAGGTTACACTTACCGTCTTCATGTCTTCATACATTTAGGATGCGAGTACGTGTGTACATACCAAATTATTCTTGTGCACCAGTGAACCATTTCCAGAAGGACAGGTGCCCAGAGCACACTGCTTCATGTAAGCAGCTGGGCCCTGGTTGGCATGTCTAGCCAGGCAGCTACTTTTACAGCCCTGGCCGGAAGCCTAGCTGCAGGCGAGAAGGAACTTTATGTGGCTATGTGTCCTGGGTTGCAGTACAGAAAACACAAGATTTACACTGCTAAGTCAGCAGTCTGCGTAGTGGGCACTGTGTACCCTGCTTTCTCGTAGATGGCAGAGCAAGTCTCTTCTCTTGAGAGGAAACACTAGGAATCATCTAGAGTTAGACTGTGTGGGAGGCCTACAAGGGAAGGACTAGAGTCGCACACAGCCTGGTATCTTACTGGTGGGGTTGCTGGGAAGACATGGCAGAGGTTCAGTCAAAGAGTAAAGCTCAGGAGAGGCCCTAGCAATCCAAGGTTCAATACTGAGAAAGTGCGGGTGAGCACAGCTATGCATGACTGTCACATGCCTAGCTCCTCTAGGACTCGGGATCCTGGGAGAGGCTGTTTTCTGGTTGTTTACAGCTGTGCATGTATGTAGAACAGGAGGAGATGCACTGGAGATCAGGGCCAGCTACAGTGCACAGCCAATGTGACATATGTACCCTACCCTGCAGACAGAGTGCCCCTTGTGTCGGGAGAAGTTCCCACCCCAGAAGCTGGTCTACCTGAGGCACTACCGCTGACAGCTCCAAGAAGTGGATGGAAGCTCATGGAGGAATCTCCTGTGGCTGCACAGAAATACAAAACCTCCACACTGTCCTTTTGTCACATAAGCTACTACAGTGACCTGGAAAGAGAGGGGTCAGGCACAAGTGGGTAAAATTCAATATGGGGATAGGAGTTTGTTGCATGTAATTTATGGCTTCTTCAGTCTCTGGAAACTCTGGAGATAGTGGGCTCCCCCTCCCTTCCCAAGCCACACAGCTGAGAACCGCTCCAGAAGTTCAGGGTATTTTACTCAGGTCTGTAAAGAGGAGGCCAGCATCAGGCTGTGAGGCAGGGCTCAGGGTAGGCAGGAAGCAAAGCCCAGCACTCTGGGCTCACCAATGTCAGTGCCCTCCTAAAACACCACCACACACCTACCCACGTTGCCAAGCCCTTAAGAAATGAAGGTCTGGGCTGGAGAGACAGCTTAGAGGCTAAGAGCACTGGATGTTCTTCCAGAGGTCCTGAGTTCGATTCCCAGCAACCACGTGGTGGCTCACAACCATCTATACTGGAATCTAATGCCCTTTCTGGCGTGCAGGCAGAACACTATAATACATAATAAATAAATCTTAAAAATAGAAAATGAAGGTCTTCATCTTCTCTAGTGGATAGGAAGGGGTCTCCCTGAGTTGCAGATTTTTTAAGACTGTATTAGGTTGCACACATGTCACTGCACATGTATGGAGATCAGGGAACAACTTGCAGTAGTCAGTTCTTTGTATCATGTATTTCAGGGATCAAATTCCGGTCGGGCTGAGTAGCAAGCAAGCAACTTTACTTGTTGAATGTCTCACCAACCCAGCAGAGTTGGCTTGAGTGAGTTTTTTCCTATAAACCAATTTCCGTGCACCCCAAGATAGCTGTTCTCTGAAGTTAAGTGAGCCATGTTGGCTTGGAGGCCAGATAAAGCAAGTGACCTGCCTACCCAATGTCACTGCCAAATCCAGCTCCCTCATGGCTCGTCCCTAGCTTGTTTCTGGCCTCCATTTGACATTTCCAAGCTTTTAAAATGAATTCAAGTCAGCGACAGCCTGGCATATCTTTAAGTGACTAATTCCACAGAAAAAGTACATTAAGAACAGAAGCTCTAGCTGGATGATGGTGGCACACACCTTTGGTCTCAGCACTTAGGAGGCAGAAAAAGCAGGCAGATTTTTGAGCTGAGGTCAGCCTGGCCTACAGCGTAAGTCCCAGCATAGTCAGGGTCACACAGAGAAACCCTGTCTTAAAAACTAAAAACAACAAACACAAAAAACCTCAGGAGATGTGGATCTAGATTTCATAAAACAGTGTGAAGACAACGTGATAGAGCCTTTGGTCTGTAAGCAGTGAGTAGGGCTGAAGCCACCATCCTCCTTGTGAAGGTCCCCTTACTGAGAGCAGGACCTATTGCTCTAGGTGGGGCAGGGGACCAGGACTGACAAAAAGTAGCTTCAGGAAGCCTATAAGAAGAAGTCTGTGGGAACCTGGAACATAGCTACAAATATGTGCAGTACCCTGACTGCTCTGCTGCTCTGGCCAGGTAGAACTAACTTTCTTTCCAACACACCAGAGTCTAGTCAGTGATGAGGAAAACAGTGTGGGAAATGTAAACAAAAACGTCTAGGCTTTGAGCCCCAAGTTCCCACATGGTTAAAAAAAAACAAACTTAACTTAGAACATTAGAAAATAACAGGTTAGGTGTACAAAATGTGACATCTAAAAGGACTATCAGAGTGTCCACAAAGGAAGCCCGGGCAGCTGACTTACTCAGTATCTAACACCACTGGATGGACGGACGGACGGACGGACGGACGGACGGATGAGAAACACCTCTCTGTGGGGTCTGAATAGGTCACAGCCTGGGACTGAAGAGCCTGCTGGTACCTGACAGCCTGTCCCTCCTGTCCCTGTGGTGTCTGCTGTCCTCGTGCTAACTGGCCCAGCGGTTGGTTCCCTTGCAGTAGCTGTGGCAGGCTGTGCGTCAGGGAAGTGACTCGTGGTGTAGACGAAGGCCGTACAAGCAAGGGACACTTTCTTTAATAAAGTTGGGATTTAAAAGTCGCTTAGTAAAATGTTTAAAGAGTAATTATTTTTATCACATCAAAAAGTTTGACACGTGGTAGGTTCTGTTTTCCCCATAGAAAGTAGAAGGCCAAGCGATGAACCCCAGACTTGGTGTGCTCTGGCCCGTTCTGTTTCCTTAAAGAGCTTGTTGCATGAAAACAAGTTTAAATTAATCAAAAGCAAAATGTTATGTATCAAAGGAAAGTGTCAAAATAGTCTCAAACAATTAAAATATAATATATATTTATAATTCCAGGCCCTCAAAAGCAATCATGGTAGTTAAGAACAGAGTTTTGAGTCATTACGATCGAGGCCAATTTGAGAAACATCTCTAGTGAGATGAGATTCAGACACTGGCATGAGAACCCCACAGAGCTCTGTGAAATCACCCTCAAAGCGGTACATTCTTTTTCACAGCAGGAAGCAGGCTGGCTTGTCCCTCTGGCACAGAGGAGTGGCCTCAGCGGGGTCAGGAAGGCAGCTCTCCGGGGCCGCACTCCCGTCCTCCCTCCGGCTCGCTTGGGCTGCCACCCACCTGGCCTCCCGAGCCTATGGTTCACTACAATCTGTCCATTTCAAACACATGAACATCACTGAAAAAGAAATCAATGCAATTTGGTTTAAATGCCAGTTTCTTCAAGAACCTGATATTTCAGATACAAATCATTGAGGCTCCTCTTAAAAAGAAAATTCAACTTCCTCATAATCAACTACTTTATGTGAAGAAAAAGGCATTGTTACAATGGCTCAAAACCGTTCTTGAGTCCGTGTGAGAGTCAGTCCAGCTTCTAACTAGCAAATGTCTTGCCCACGTCCTCCTTCCCTTTGTATCTCCTCTTCCCGTGTGTGAATGGTATGTACCGGTATTTAATCATGTGCTGGGAAAACAAACACACAAACAAACTTGAGTTATTTCAAAACAGTTTCCTGCTTAACCCTTTTCCCTAGGCCTGAATAGCCAAAGGTACCCCTCCATTATTTCTGTCTAGCCCAATTGAAATCAAGAAGCCAACAGTGTGGTTGGCACATTCTAACCCACTAGAGGCCTGTCTGAAATCCCAACACTAGGGAAGCATTTCATGAGCCTCCGTGAGCAAAGCTGGGGAGAGTACAGAAGGGGCACAGCTACATCACCAATGTGGGGGTGTGCCTTATGTTCTAGCAGGGCTACCACAGGCTACCACGCTATGAGCTAAAAGGAGCCACTGAAGCACTGCAGGCCCAAGCCCACCTGACCCTATGCAGGCCTTTCCTATTCAGCTTCCAGCAACCTTCAGGAAGGTTCTGTTCTCACAGAGGGCTTGCAGTCTGGGACTCATGGCCAGAAGCCAAGCACCGGTCAGTCATCACACACAGAGGGCGATACTAACACTCAAACTCAATGCCAGCACGCTTTTCCAGGGACCCTGCAGCCTTGGGCTGGTCACCTCGCACAGCAGCGCTGTGTCTTTACCTTTATTTGCCTCTTCATCGTGATACAGAAAAGCATGATGAAGTACATCACCAGGATCGGCCAGAACACCGGGACGTTGAAAGCCTCGAAGAAGGTACAGATCATGGCCACAAGAATGCCTTTTGTAGCTGCATGCCTTAAAGCAAAGGGAAACATTAGTGTGATCTCCGGGCAGCACCAGACAACTGTCAAACCTCTCTGGCCTTTACCACCACCAGAGAGAGACGACATAGAGTAGTGCAGTGTGCAGTCAGTCTGTGTACACTACACTGAAGCACAACCAAGTCCCCTCAGTCTTTCGAAAACTAAGTCTTCTTAAGCTTACACACAGTATAAGACACCTCAGCTAAAGCCAAACGCACCTCAAGTGTGCTGCCTGGAACTGCTATCCTGAGCAGTAGCCTAGGCCCTGGTGCCGACTCTGGAAGACTGAGTGCAAGGGAGTGCCTCCCACCCCAGCACACGGCCTGCCACCACCACCCTGCTGGTTAGGTTCTGTGCTACTGAAACCCCACAAGCTCTTCTTTTACTACAGAACAAAGTCTAGGTTCCTTGGGGGCTTCTACCTACCTTCTGCTTCCTCTCCTAGATCATATCCCACACTCTTAACACTTTGTGTCCCACACACAGCTCCAGAGCTGCTGAGTTAAAACACTCACAGAACCCAGTTTGTTCATTCAATGTATTAAGCCAACAAAGACTTTGGCTCCTTTGGGCTCTGGGGGAACATTTGGTCCAAAAGACAGGCCAGGAGGCCACAGCTTCAACCTTTTGACAGAAGGTCCTCGGAGGAGCTACACTACACTGCACCTACCTGTGTTCTCACCCCTCTCTCCCTAGTCTCCGCACTGCCAGGATGTCTGCTCTGTGGAAGTGCAGGGTGGCCTTGAACCAAAGCAGTGCCCACAGTAGGCACAGGGCCCAGAAAACAGCTATTAGAACCCTTCATTCTAGAACCAGCCTGATCTGCTACCCAAGACAGAGCATTGTGAAGTGGTGCTATCCCTTGGAAAGCCCTGTTACACACCCCATGGCTGTCCAGCCCAAATGTAACCTTTTAGATTAATGCACACCACATGCAAATAAAGCACAACAAAATTCCCATTTTGTTAAGAAACCAGTAACTAGGACAAAAACTGGTCTGCATCTTCCACAAAAGCCTTGAAGAAATAATAGCAAAGAAAGGACTTCCACTGTGGAGACAAGAGGAAGAGCAGTGGCAACAATGCTGCACTTCCTTCAAAACACCTTTAATAGGACCTTTTTTTTATTTTTATTTTTTTTATTTTCGAGACAGGGTTTCTCTGTGTAGCCCTGGCTGTCCTGGAACTCACACTGTAGACCAGGCTGGCCTTGAATTCAGAAATCCGCCTGCCTCTGCCTCTCAAGTGCTGGGAGGATTAAATGTGTGGCCACCACTGCCTGGCTTAAATGGGACTTTTACTGTTCAAACACAAAGTAGTCAGTATCCGTGGTGGATGTGCCAAGCACTTGACCTGACTATTACATGACTATTAGCTAGTGTATGTTTACTGAAATGGTACCACATTCCCTACATGTGGACAATTACAACATTTGCAAAAGTAAGACATAGACACATACACACACATATTTTATTATTCGATAAAAAAAATTAACTCACCAAAATTTGAATTCTGGAAGCCTTCGAATGAAGGGCCGAAACTCCTCATTTTGTTTGGTTGGTAACGAAGGGCCGTCATCTGAAAAGTAGAACACGACTGGAGATGAAGCATCTGCCTCTCTTACCTTTGGATTTCTGCCCCCACTTAGAAATCTTCCCTAAATGCTTCTGAACTAGTATGCCTCACACATGGCAACAGATGTCATTCAACGAAAGTGTGGGGTCCACAGTCAACTGACAGAGTATAACTTACAAAGTAATTTGCTGCTTTAGAAAACTCAGGTGAGACTTTTTTTTTTCCTTATTTATTTATTTATTTGGGTTTTTTTTTTGTTTTTTTTTGTTTTTGTTTTTGTTTTTTTTTTTTGAGACAGGGTTTCTCTGTGTAGCCCTGGCTGTCCTGGAACTCACTCTGTAGACCAGGCTGGCCTCAAACTCAGAAATCTACCTGCCTCTACCTCCCAAGTGCTGGGATTAAAGGCGTGCGCCACCACGCCCGGCTTTTTTTTTTTCCTTTTTTAAAAGACTTTTTTTTTTATGTGAGTGCTCTATCTGCATGTACAATTTCCTGTCAGAAAAGGGCATCAGATCCCATTACAGGTGGCTTGAGCCACCATGTGGTTGCTGGGAATTGAATTCAAGACCTCTGGAAGAGCAACAAGTGTTCTTAACCGCTGAGCCATCTCTCCAGGCCCGAGAATTTTATTTATTTATTTATTTATTTTTTAAATAAAAGACATATGCACTTTTAAAAGACATTAACAAAAGATTTTGTGGCTGGAGCACTGGTTACTCTCTTCCAGAGCACCCAGGTTCAATTCCCAGCATCTACACAGCAGCTCTGTAATACCTGTTCCAGAGGATCCTATACCCTCATACAGACAGACATGTAGTCAAAACACTAATGTACATGAAATAATAATTAAAAAACTCAATTTCACACAGATTTTTCATTTGTTGTACTATATGGTTATGTAAATAAGGACAAACTAACGTTTACCTAAAACAGGAAATAGATAATGTAGGCCATATTATACTATAATACTGCACTTGAGAGGCAGAAGCAGGGTGAGTTTATGGCCAGTATGGAATACACAGAAATCCATTATCACAATTAAGCACAAGGTGGCAATGAAATGCCACGGCAGATCAAGACACCTGCTGCCAAGCCAGACAATCTGAGCTTAATCCCTGGAACCCATATAATAGGAGAGACCCAAGACAGGACACAGGGGCAGGCGGATCTCTGAGTCTGAGGCCAGCCTGGTCTACAGAGTGAGTTTCAGGATAGCCAGAGCTACACAGAGAAACCCTGTCTCAACAACAACAACAAAAACCCAAACCCAAGAACATTTCAACTCAGAAACCAGGGCACACCCAACGCCTGAGCTGATACTAACTCCAGGCAACAAGAGTCCTCCTGGTCTGAGCTGTATCTCTACTGTTTACTGCTTCTGTACTTTTCTGGTCACATGAGAGTACCTAACAGTGAATCCTGAGGCAGGGAGCAGCGGAGCAGACCCCGTACCCCACTCATTCTCTCTCTCATGTGACTCTGCATGTGTTGCTTACGCCCAGGGCTTTACTTTCCTCCTGAGCCAAGTGGAGATAAAGAACGACCCTTCCCACCGCTGCACAGGGTTTAGCGAGTAATCCTGATCAGACATCACAATTACAAATAAATACCATAAGCCCAGGTCCAAGTGTTCTCAGGACCAAGGACTATCCCAAGGATGATGTAGAGGCAGTCACAGAGTACTCTGACAGCACCCAATGGCCCTGCTGTACCTGAGTCTTCCATCAAGGAAGGATCCACTTTGGGAGAAAGGAACGCTATGAAAAGGTTTAGGTGGTAAATTCCCAAGGCGTAGGTCACGATGTACCAACCCTGGAAGAGAAGGG